TATCTTTTGATGCTATATGCAAAGCTTTCTCAACGCTCTTCAATTCAATTTCATGTGTCAAGAAAAATTTGCAAAGTGGCCATTCACAGGAAATTTTGCAACACTTCATAATGCCTCAAGTCTATGCTCGAGCAATATGTTTCCTATTTTAGCATGTGCTGATAGGATATGTTTAGGAATCCATGCTATATTATGATGACTCATAAAATTTCTACTTTAGTCTATTTATTCTCTTTGTATATTCATTAAATTTTAAAGGTATATAGAGCAGCTTTTCATTTCCTCTTTTCTCGGTTGTCAGAATATTCTGGGGGGGGTTTGGTGTCAGTGATCACAGTAAAATATTGCTGAATATATACATGCCTGATGACTATTGGGCATAACAAACATTTAAAATGCCTATTTTATTTCATTTTAGAAAAATAAATGTTAATAAATATGTATTTAGAATGGAATATAAAGTACATTTGGAAAATGGGCCATAGAAACATTCTCCCAGGTTCCTTCTTAAAGTCTAGTTATGATGTGATTGTGATATAACACTGCAAATCATAATCGCCTCCACGGAAGGATTAATATCCAGCTCAGCTAAGGCATTTCACAGAACATAAACATCAGGGCAGGGATGATACATTTGTTTTCAAAGAAAGAGGTAGTTACATTGCCATCATGTTCCCTTCAAATTAATTTACATCTAGTTTAGTGAATGGCAGAATAAAGCTGAAATATTTAACTATCCAATCAAAATGCGAACATATTTGTTTGGAAAAAGAAATGAGCCACATATGCAGACCATAAACAAAATGGAACTCTGGCTACGGAGGCTGTTGATTTTCTCTTGGCCCAGAACTGGGTTTCTGTGATTGTGACTTTTAATTCAAAATGATAATAGGCTTGAGACTTGATTAGATTTGAGCATCTGAAAAAGTTGAAAGGATTTTCCTTCTTAGAGTGTTCATGCTCGGAATCACAATTATGAGATGCCCGTGGACTTAATGGTTTTAGTTCATTCAAACTCATCTTATTTTTTTAATGCAGTTCACTAACATTTATAGGCTTCTAAAACATTTAGCAGATGGTTTTATAGATTTCTCATAGTAATGTGAGCAAGCTCACTCAAGTAAAATTTTGGCTTTTAACTGTTGTCCTAATTTTTTTATGCAAACTGCAATACTTTTAAATATTTGGTTTATCCAATCTAAGTTCTGTTTCCTACTCAGTAACGTAGCCTTCGTTGTGGGAATTAAATTGGCAATGAACTGATTGCTATATATGAAAGCAAATTAATCTTTTTCTTTTTCCTCTAAGGGAATAAAAAGAAACATGCAAATGAGGCAGATAAATCTTCCTTGATATCTCTTATTTTTCCAAGAAGTCTTAAGTATACAAGTTTTAAAATAATGTTTTTGATATAATACATGTTTTTCCTAAATTGTATATGGATATTATAGAATGCTTGGAAAATAATATAATCATGTATATTTCCTCCCTATTATTAAAACAATTTTGTTTCTTTTTCTTTTTCTATTTTTTGTTGAAGGGCTATAAACATTTTAAAAATTACTCTCAATTTTTTGTAGAAAAACTTTAAAAAATTAGTTCTAATAATCTTTTCATTTATTTTAAATTTTCATCGTTCACATTGTTACATAATCTTTATCAGTGTCACTTTTTAATGGCTGCATAATGCTTCCTCAAGGCAGAAAGCACAGTTTTTAAACATCCCTTTAACTGTCAAAAATTTAGGTCATTTCTAGTTTTTGCATATTACAAATAGTACTGCAATTAATTTTTTGTATGAAAATTCCTTATATTTGAGAATATTTTCTTAGGATAGGTTCCCAAGAATTACATTTTAAATCTAAGAATATAAATTGCTTAAATGGATCTGTAGCATACTATATTCTGCTAATTTCTTGCATACACAGTTCAAAGGAAAGGGTTGCAGATTTTGGAAGATGTGGTTCTGGTTTTTATTTAGATTTGTCTAGTTCAGGTATTTGGAGAACACCCCAGTATAACCATCTAGGGGGCAATCTATATCTATAAAGAAGAATCCACATATAGGTCAATAATATAGGCACAAATTGCATTGCTTAACTAGCTTGTGAGAAGACATTCCAGTAGAAAAATTTAAAGGTAAACATGAATACCTTATTACAGTTAACAGTACTCATGGCTTTCAAATCATCTTTTTTTTTCTTCTTTCTTCCTTCCAACTTTTCCATTAAATACGGTTCACTTACATAATAAAATGAAGGCAGTTCAACTGCCTAATTCATTCAGATTAAATGAATGATCATCATACACTACAATTTTCAGTATCAAAAATGAAGGCTTAAGTTTTGGATGCAGGCAAATACCATATGAATTCACATATATGTGTAATCTGAAGAATAAGTAAACAAAATAGACTCATAGACACAGAGAATACACTGAGTGTTAGGATACTGGGTGAAAAAGGTGAAGGTATTAAGAAGTACAAATTGATAGTTTATGGGGGTGTAAAGTACAGCATAGGCAATATAATCAATAATATTGTAATAACTATGTATGATGCCAGATGGGTACTGGAAATATTGAGGAAAACACTGATAAAACATATAATTTTACAAAGTACTCTTCTATATACCTGAAACTAATACAAAACATGTAATGTAGACTGTATTTAAAAGTAAAATTTTAAAAATTTCTGGAAGCATTAGAGGGGAAAATACATACCACATAAACCATATTCTTATTTCCCCTACTATATAGTATCTCTCACATTAAAACAACACATAAAACAGACCTCTATCTACCATGAGACCAATTATAAAACTCTAATAAGCATATTGCAGTTATCTACCTACATATCTTTTCACTGGCTGGGGAGAGAATGTGAGGGCAGGGCCCGTATCAAGATCACTGACCTTCCCTTCCTTCTTTCCTAAGTCTTTTCAGTGTTTCCACCCCTGCCTTGCACTCTAAAAATTCAGTAGTGACAGACACATCAAACAAGTTTTTATTTCCCTGGAGTAAATATTCTAGTAGGGAGGAGAGAAGAAGAAGACAAATGAAGAATGCATGAACAAGACATGCAAACAGAAGAGAATAAACAAGCACAGATGGAGGAGGATGACTGGCCAGTGATCTAGGCAGGAAAAGCAGCACTGAGGAAGTAATGTTTGAGCACAGGGACTCAATGTAAGGCCATGGGGTAAATGAGATCACGTAGAGAGAGCAAGGAGGGTTGATGGGGGAAGACAGATTTCGACACTCCTCTTAAAGTTTCTTATGAAGAAGAGATCCAAGATGGTGGCAGAGTAGGTGGATGTTACACTCACCACCTTCCAGGACCAAACTGGAATTACAACTAAAATATAGAGCAATCAAGCTGACTAACCAACTGAAGACTAGCTGAAGAGAAGTCTTGTAACCAAGGAATTACATAGGTGGCCACATAGAGACTAGTAAGAAGGGCAGAAATGTGAAAAGGCTGGCCCTGCTCCCATGGGTGGTGACTGGAATTCCGGAAGGATACCCCAGTTGCAAAGATCCCCCTGAGACACATGGATTCTCAACCCAGTGCTAGACTCCCCATCCCACAGCAGCAGAGCTGGGAAGAGGCACCCACATAACATCTGGCTGTGAAAATCAGAGGGGACTTTGTCTGCCAGGGAGAAAGAAAAGTCTGCTCAAGACATAGGCACTCTCTTAAAGGGCCAATGCACAAAATCTTGTTCACAGCCACTCATCCTGGGCTCCAGCAGAGGGAGGGCAGAGCAAAATAGAGGTGTGTGAGGAGAGACTGGGGTTTGTGGCTCTGGGGAGAGAGCTAAGGGACAATTGCCAGACCCCTGTGCTGAGTCCCTGTCCCACACCACAGATGTCATCTTTCTTGGGTGGAGCACTCCCCTCCTTGCACCACCAACCTGGGAGGAAGCAATAGCTCTACTTCTGGACTCCTTGTAGCCCTGCTCTATAGCAGCTGCCCAGGTGTAGATTCAGGGGATGTGAGTGACTGAATTATGTGGCTTTGGGGTGGTGGTCATTCCCCCCACTTTCTCATGAACCTGACTGGTGTCTCCCCCTCACAGGAGATATGCTAGCCCCACTTTCTGGCCCCACAGTTTTGACTCCTGGTGGTTTTGTCCTACCAAGGTCTGGACATAATCTGTGACAGACTGAGTTGTGTGACTCTGGAACTGGGACTATTCCCTCCACTTTCCCCCCAAGCCTGACCAGCATGTCCCAATCACGGGAGATCCACTAGCCCCATGACCCCCACTACCAATGGCTACACTCTGCTGAAATCAGGCTCCTGGCAGAATCTGGGACAGACTTTCTCATGTGGATCTAGGATGGGGGCCTTTTTCTCTTACACACCTAAGCAGTGCAGCACCCTCCCTTTACATGGCCAACCTTGATCTGTTTGAACTAATATTCTCACAGACTGTTGAGGCATGAAGGGGGCACAGAAATTAGGAATTGTGATAGTTCTTCAACTTGATTATCAGAATCATTCAGAAGTTAAAGACAAACATTCCAAAATTCATTACAGATCTACATGAGCATCACCAGGGCTGATAAGAGATGAGGGATTGTCTGATCAGTATAATTTTTTTCTTATTGTCAGATAAGTTTCTCATTAGACAGTGGATAAATAGTTATTGATTGATTTGATAAATTTTTGTATCACCATATCAGGCCATAAAGTCATACCTTAATGAGAAGCTTGTTAGAAAAATACAAAAACATTGACATACTTATTACAAAAGGTCTCTCCTGAAAGAACTGCCATATTAACAGAAAATGCTGAGAGTCAAGAGTACCATCTGTAGTCCCAATATTCCATACTGCTTCTCTTAGATTCTTTAGCTTCTAGATGCAGAGATAATGTCTAAATTCCTGCATTTGATATGGTATTATTGTATATTGGGCAACTGCAGTCTTGATTGCCAGTGTGGACGGAGTTTGATTCTCTTCCATTCTCATGAAATATGTGTGATACTTTTCAGTATACTTCTGCTCTGACCTATGATGCTGTTCAAGTGATGACTGAAGCTTTCCGCAACCTACGGAAGCAGAGAATTGAAATCTCCCGAAGGGGGAACGCAGGAGACTGTCTAGCCAACCCAGCAGTCCCCTGGGGACAAGGTGTAGAAATAGAAAGGGCCCTCAAACAGGTCAGTCACTCATCACAATTGTTCGGTGATTTGACAATGGCTACCATTTTCTTCCTGCAGAATTAGTCATCCTTGATTTATTCCTTATGTTTAATATAAAGGGAATATTATTTCCTTACTACACAAAAGTTGCAAAGTGAAAGGAAAAAAACATAAATGTGGTTTTCTTGACTTGAAGTAAATTTGTAACTATGCTCCTTTTTCATTCCTCATTAGGTTCAGGTTGAAGGTCTCTCAGGAAATATAAAGTTTGACCAGAATGGAAAAAGAATAAACTATACAATTAACATCATGGAGCTCAAAACTAATGGGCCCCGGAAGGTAAGTCATTAGTAATTTAAAGGCAGTTCTCTCTGCGTGAGAAGGTGAGTTAACTAACCCATCACTTCATCTCCCAAAGAGTCCTGAAGATGTGTTCTCGCATAGAGTTGTACAAATTCCGGAATCAGATTTATTTTTCAATATGTTTTTACAATCCAATTTTTTTTGGTCATACTGACATGTAAACTTTACAGTAAAGAGAACTGTAAATAGAAATATACTTTTTTAGATCGAGGTAGAAAAAGAGTTTAATGAGAAGAAAAAGAACTAGTGCTGAGAGTTCAGGGCCCAGAAGACAACACACAGCTGATACAAATTAACTGTTCAGCATCTTTTTTTAAGTATTATGGTGAATATGCCTTTTTAACTTTATGTTTCTGTATGATCACTTCCAAATAAATGATCTTTGGAGAATATGACAAGTGAACACAAAGAGACAAACCATTTTTAAGGGTTGTTTTTCTTTGTTTTGTTTTTATAGTTCTGTCCTATTCCTATTAGATTCACATATATCCAAGACACATCACTGTCTAGAAGCCTAGTTAATACAGGTGCAATTTCAGATTTAGGTATGAGTTAGAAAATAATGAAATGCTTTGCTAATAAATGGGTCACTGCCCCATGTGCCTGCCTTCTGCAACTTGTTCCAGATCGGATACTGGAGTGAAGTGGACAAAATGGTTGTTACCCTTACCGAGCTGCCCTCTGGAAACGATACCTCTGGCCTTGAGAATAAGACTGTGGTTGTCACTACAATTTTGGTAATTAGCTCCATGTGCCTATGTTTTATTTTATTGTTTATGACGAGTATGTACCACCTAGAATTGCTGTTTATGTGTCAGGGCAACAGCTACCACAGTATTGCCTTCGCAGTGTTTTCATCATTTATTGAATATGTACTCTGTCAAAAGGACTACACAAGCACTAGCTGAGGCATTAAAAATATTCCTTACCTCTTCAAGACTATATTTAGTTTGACAAATAATTCATAACCTGGTGCATCTATAGGGGAACAACTGAAGAAAATCCTAAAGAGGACTCCTTGCTTGTTCAAGGGCTTCGCCTGTCCATTCCCATACCATTGTGGGTACATTTTACCTTTCCAGTTGTTACATGTTTTAATACTGCTGCCAACTTCTCCTTCTTCATAATAAAAGATGAACTCCTAAAAGACAAGGATGATCTCTCTCCTTTTCCACCCCAAGTCTCAACATGGTAGTGGGCAACTAGCCTGTGCTACATAACTGTGCATGGATGCATGAGATAAATTGAACCAGATCTTGAACATCTGGGTCTAGGATAGATGGAAGGGGATTAGATCATCATGGCAAGCTGTTGGTGAAAGGAAACTGAGTAAATGGAGTTCACTAATAGTTCATAATTTTGTAACAAAACAATTTTATTTTATTTTATTTTATTTTGCTAAGCAGTGATGAAGTATTTTGTGGGAATCATTATCCTAACAATAATGAGGAGGAAATATGGAAAGGATAACAAGCATTTGGATAAAAACATTGGCTGACATTTAGAAACTCCTCTGTGAGTCTAAGCTAGACATTTGAGAATTTTTGCCTTAATCATGCCATTGAGAAGAACTGTCTCACCGAGACTCCATATATCCTTGGTGCCTCTTTTCAGTCAAAAATATTGGGCAGTATTGAATCCTTTCTTTCATGCTTCCTATTTCTTATGTTCACAGATGGAAGCTACTCTCTGGCTATCCTTGTAGCATCATTCTAGGATATTATATCTCCTAAAAGAAGCAAGACCTAAAGTCCAAAAAGATTGAATCAGAAATTCACCATGGCAATGATCTTTTCAGTCTGTGTGACACTGGCCAACCAGACTTCTATATGAACTCTATGTTTGAAGCAGCAGCAACCAAGGGTTCTGGGTGAACAGGGTTCCTGGCCTTGGAATAGCCTTACCATAGAATAAGAGCATGGTGGGTCCAGAGTTGAATTTAACAGCTGTTGAGTGGAATTCTTCATCTTTAAATCCTAGGAATTACAGATATGACAAGGGGACTTGCCAACAGTCTGTGCTTTTGAGTCTCTTGTTTATTTTGGTATGGCTAGGTACAAGTCATGTTAAAGAAATACACTGATAGATATCTAAAGACCTTTTTCGGAAGGCTTATAAATAATTTTTCCATCTATATTCTATAATATCTCTTGCTAACAGGTAATTATTAAACCAGAAGATTTGATTCAAAGAGTAAATACTTAACAAAGCTATTTTTGTCAACTACAGCATGGTCTTTCCATACAGGAATCACCCTATGTTATGATGAAGAAAAATCACGAAATGCTTGAAGGCAATGAGCGCTATGAAGGCTACTGTGTTGACTTAGCTGCAGAAATCGCCAAACATTGTGGGTTCAAGTACAAGCTGACAATTGTTGGGGATGGCAAGTATGGGGCCAGGGATGCAGACACGAAAATTTGGAATGGGATGGTTGGAGAACTTGTGTATGGGGTAAGTATAGCTCTTCCCATAGAAAGTCCTTCAGTTAGAACTGTGGTTGACAGAATGCCTCCCCTCCCTGGGAAGTACCTGTGTCTGAGGTTGTCGGCTTCCCACATTACTCTAGGAATGCTATATTATTTCTTTGTAAGCATCTGAAGATTAAAGATGAAGTCAGAAGCAAACTTGCAGATTAGGTGAGACAGAGATTTCATCTGTCTTGAAGCATCTGGGACATACGCATTGGTCAAAACTGCAAAGGCATAGATGCAGGATAAAGATGGAATTATCATAATCAAGCCAGATGTGTCCACTACACATTTATGAAAAAAGGGGATATCCAGAGAACAAACTACTTTTTTTTGTTTATTCTTTACTGGGATTCCACCAGGGAAATAATTATGGCCATTTTCTTGATCTCCTTTCCTTCCCTTTTGACCCAGTAATGAACCAGGATGCCTTTCTGAACATGACTCCAGGTACTACTACTGTTCTTTGTTTCCCTTACAGAAAGCTGATATTGCAATTGCTCCATTAACTATTACCCTTGTGAGAGAAGAGGTGATTGACTTCTCAAAGCCCTTTATGAGCCTCGGGATCTCTATCATGATCAAGAAGCCTCAGAAGTCCAAACCGGGAGTGTTTTCATTTCTTGATCCTTTAGCCTATGAGATCTGGATGTGCATTGTTTTTGCCTACATTGGGGTCAGTGTAGTTTTATTCCTGGTCAGCAGATTTAGCCCCTACGAGTGGCACACTGAGGAGTTTGAAGATGGAAGAGAAACACAAAGTAGTGAATCAACTAATGAATTTGGGATTTTTAATAGTCTCTGGTTTTCCTTGGGTGCCTTTATGCAGCAAGGATGCGATATTTCGCCAAGGTTGGTGACTCACCTGCTTCAACTTTGTGCATTTTAGGTCTCAAGTGGACCTTCATGGTGTTTATGAATTCACTCTAAAGAAATAATCAGCTGCTGATTACCTGTCCAAGCAGTGTAAGGCTCAAGGACAGATACTTAAAATCGGCATAAGCCTGTGAAATATTTGAGCAATGTTCTTTGAATGTTGACCTTATATTTCCCTGGTGAAATTATACACACCATGGAGAGGCTATAAAATGCATAAGGTTCCCATCATTCCATGCCTTCTTGGAGGGGTACCGTGTTTTTGCTGCATATTCTCATTTTACAGTCATCTGTGTGTTAATCCACAGACCTGTATATGGGAAAATGGGCAATATTTCATATTAACTACAAAAGCAAGAGCTTGTTTAAAAAAATCTTCATTGGAACACATCCCATCTCTTTTATTTTCCCATCATTAGTTCATGGAAATGGTGTGGGAGAGATTATAATTTTTTTTATTAGGGTGCTGGGTTAAAAGGACATGATAACATTTACAAATACCGAGAAATACATGGCTGGGCACTAATAATGGCTGGTTGTCATAAAAATGTGTGCCATATTGAATGATAATGTATACATCATGGAAAAAATTCATATACTTCTCTTATTATGATATATTAATTCCTGCACTAAATGCCTAAATATGATGAATATATCACAAAACACATATAGCTTTTGTTCATGTTATATACATGAACAAGAATGACAGTCATATCTTGTCCTTCTGAAGAATAACTCATTCCATTTCTAGTGTGATTGCCTTTATATTTAAAGCCTATGTTACAATCTATTTGTTGTCATATTTTAATTTGGGTTTCAGTACCCTTCCTTGATTCTATGGGATATTTTAATAACTGGAGAAGGAGTGACTTTCTAATACTATTTCATATGTTGCTAATTTTTTGGCACTTGGGGGAAATAAGTGATTAATTTAAAATAACTAAATGAGCTAAAAAATTTGTATCTTTTGTAATTTTTATTATATACTCCATCCACTGAGAAAAAGAAAATAGATTATATATCTAGAAATTATCACGTCTCTGATAGTAGGTCAAATTTTTATGAATTAATTATATGGATCTAAACAATCCTAATTTAATTATATTTTGCTTGGCTTTTCTGTGGAACTATGTTGAATTAGAAGCATGCCATAGTATTTTTATGGCATATATATATAAATATATATATATTTCTGATGATCTCTGACAAGATATATAGGATTCATAGTTTACCTGATTTAAGTGAAAAATGGACAGAGAAGCTTCTAATAATGAGAAAGATAAATACCAACAAAATTGGGATCTCAGAGGACATCTTGGTCCATAAATAATAATGAAATGATTCACCTTTAGTAAGAAGGTTACTGTAGTATAATGTTGCCCTATTCCTGAGACATAAGACAGTTATCATAGAATATCATAAACTATGCTCTGTCTATTGAGTGATTAGGAAGAAGTGCATGGGGCTCATTATGGGGTAGGATATATCGACCGGGTTCCATAGGAGTACCCTGCTGCTTGTTCATCACGCCTCTGCAGGTGGTGGTTTTGGTGTCTAGTGCTTGTTGGGAAGCAGAAAACATATTTACACCTGGGGGCTGAGTACAGGGCATATTTAGCAATCTGCATTATTCTCGGGCCCCCCAGGACATGCAAAACTACTTCACATTTTCAAGCCCACTTCCTAAAACATGATCTTTTTTGTGTGCTTTTGATATTACTACAATTTCACATGCAATAATTTTTATTTTCTGGTAAGATAGAAGATTTTAGGTAGTGCATTTTGTCCTTGTTATCGATTGACTTTTTGGGGGGAGAGGGCCACAAAATATATGTGGGAAAATATATATAGGCAAATCCTCTTTATTAAAATTTTAAAGCATAGCTCTTTCATTTTATGTTGTGTGCATTTACAAATTGAACATATTACATAATATTGGCAAATTTAATGATTTTTAATTAAATAAACTGTATTTAAAGTAAAATTATTATTGCTTACCTCAGTTTAGAAAATAATAAAGCAGCTTAATGTCTAAAATTATAATAATGCATGAAATGTATATATCAATTTAGAAATGCTCTTTAAATACTTTAAAAGGTATTTATCTCTTTTCAAGTAAAATATGATCTGAAACTATATTATTAATACTAATAAAACATTAAAATTTTAATCTAGAATGGTTTAGTAAGTTGAATTGCCCACTTGCCTGAAATGAGATTTGGAATATGTTCACAAATTTCTGAAGACTAGATGCAATCACCAAAATTATAAGAGTGAAATACTTGAAAGTTGACTTTTATTCTCCTGCTTGCTTCTGGTTTTTTCCCCAAACATCTATAAAGGATTGAAATGTATTAAACAAAATGCCATTTTAAAACAACTATTTAGTAGAGAATTAAAATAAATGTTAGAATACATATGATATATTTACTTGCTCCTTTAGTGCCAATGCTGAGAGGTGAAAGTTTTGTATTTAATTAGAAAAGTTGTTTTTGAGTATTATCATAAAACAAAATTAAATTTGCCCCTCTGCATATAAGTTCACAGGGACTCTTTCAAAAGCATTAATTGTTCCTTTGAAAACATAAACAAGTAAATAATAAAATCATTGAGAATTTTTTGTGTCAGTGATGTATAGGTCCAATAAATTTTTCATCTTGTATACTTTAAATAAATTAGCATATTTAATCTGCTTAAATGTGATTTAAGCACTGAATTAGAGAACAACTTACACCTCTATCTTGTGTCTATTTTATAGTTGGGACAGAATGACTTACAAAAATGATTCTCAGAGATATTGTAAATTAACATTCCATGCATAGTGCTAACAGCAGTTACCATGTAATCCATTTTTTTATGGGGTTTGAGCAGCCAGGTACAGAATGTGCCCTCCTAAATACAGGGTACATGCCATATAATTATACCTTCTGCTGTTGTGGAATAGTGAACATTTTGAGAGTAGCTGTGTCTACATAAAGTGTTTGCCAAATTTAAAGTGTATTTAATATCCTTTAGAAAAAACAATTGAGATGTTTAATTTTTTTCATCCTGCCATATTGATTTAATTCTTTGCATCTCTTAGAGACTGTGATAAAGGCTCTTAATTACATTCTTTTGATCTTTCATTGCTTGTTCTCTCTCTCTTGTTCTCTTTTATTTTAGCAACAGATATTTTTTCATCTAAAAAAATTTACTTTTAAATTAACTTTCCCTCTTTGTCCTAACTGCCTGGGTAGTTTATTCTACAAATATTACCCAATAATTTGATATAGTATCTATGATTCATCGGAAAGTCTATTTTTTAGTTTTAATGATAAGGAAGGTTGATTTAGGCCATAAATTGCCAATTATGTTTTAAATTTTAGAAAGGTTATCTTTTCACTATAGAACCTCTAAATTTTAGATGTAGCAGGATTATTAACAAGAAAAAAAGTTACATTTGTTTGTTAATATTACTCAAATGCTTTTATATGTAGAATCCCCTCAAATCTTTTAAAATAATACACTATACATCTATTTCTATATGTACATATTTATATTTGTCTATCTAGGGTTTAGGGTAAATTATTGGGAATCTATTAAGTTTTCAAAAAATATTTATGTAAGAATTTATGCCCACAGAATAATATTACTTTAGTATATTTTAAACTAAGAATTTATAACTTGGCAAATTTTTAAGTATCTAGTTTGTTTTCCTTCAGTTTTCTTTTCTCTTTTTCCCTAAGCAGGAGGCACAAAGGAACAGCCCATACATAAAGCATCTCACTTTTATTCATTAAGAATTATATTTTGTTTCATACCTGTGTTTATAGCATCATTTTTTCCTCTTCTATACTGTATTAAAATTCAGGTATGGGCACACACACAAAAAAAATAATGAAGTTTTGGACTTTTGTTTTGAGGGTACTAGAACTTTATTGGTTGAATTAAAGGGTTTCTTCAGTGTTTAAAAATATATCTGTAGTGCATACTCTTTAATTTTTAATATTTGGTTTTGTTTGTCAATATTATTCTGAGTATTGCTGGTAATCTTAGATTCTATTGTACATATTTGCTTATTCCACAAATATATAAAATAGTATGAGCATTGGATGAATTATATATGCACATTTCTTGAAATTGTTTTGTTATGAGATTTCATACCATCAAAGATTTGGGCATTATAAGTATGAAAGAATTTTAGGAATCTGGAGTTTTCACCTCTGGGTATCTCATCAAATCTAGGTAATCTGTCCTCTTGCCCAGAATGTTTCATAGTTTCCAATTCCTTTAAGTAGCAGATATATTGAAAAGTATAAAGTAAAACATTCCTTTATAAGTCGATATTTGCATAATACTGCTAACTTGTTTTTTTATTAGGTCATTCATTCCACTTTACAAATCCATTTCATACTTGTTATTAGATCCCTCTCTGGGCGCATTGTTGGAGGTGTGTGGTGGTTCTTTACCCTGATCATAATCTCCTCCTACACGGCTAACTTAGCTGCCTTCCTGACAGTAGAGAGGATGGTGTCTCCCATCGAAAGTGCTGAGGATCTTTCTAAGCAAACAGAAATTGCTTATGGGACATTAGACTCTGGCTCCACTAAAGAGTTTTTCAGGGTAAGAGATTCTGCTTTGTAACTTCATTTCACCCATTTAAACTTTGCCCCCCTTTGCCTCCTCCCATGGTCTGTGTGAAAGTGACCACCATCTCTGCCCCTATTTCCGCTCCTGACCCTGCTTCTGTCCCCCTCCTCCCCTACCCCTGTCCTGAGCCCCACCTCTATCGATTTTCCGATTCCTCACCCTTTATCTAAAAACATGATATTGCAATGAAATCTTAGTTTTATGAAATTCGATTGTCCTTTTGGAAGAAAACTGAAGCATAGTTAAGTATAGATTGGCATTATTTTAAAAACAAAATGGTGTAGCTTTCTGTTTCATTTAAAATAAGCATGACTGTCATTTTTTGTACATCGTTTTCAGTTGAAGACTCACCTTTAAATCAGTTATTTAATTATGTATCAGGAAACAGATGTTTCTATGTGAAAATTCTGAATTTTCTGTCAAACCCTTCAAGAAAAGGCTAATACAGACCTTCATATTTTTTAAATGCACACCAAAGTTATAATGCATTTTAATTTTTTTAAAAATGGTATCCTCATGGTCTATATTTATAGGACAAGCCAAATAACCTGCTGTTAGTAAAATTTTATTTCAGTATGCCATCTCTATATAAGAACACATTCTATTAAAGTGTTTAAATACAGCTGATAAACTAAGGTCTTAAGCCAACATATATGACAAATGATGATCGCTAATAATACACAAATATCTTCAAATGTATTTGAGTCTGATTGAGTGAGGACTGGGCCAGTTTACTTCAGAATTAGGATCGGGACTTCAATTTTTAGTTGAGGTAACAGATTTCATTATTTTTAAGACTTCCCCATGCTACATCTGTCCCTCATCACTTCTGCCAAATAACTTTAGCTGGGCTGAAGATAATTTGGGAGAAAAGAGTGGTTAGGGGCTTGTCACAGCTGATAATAGATAATAACCTGGATATGTGGGTGATAGAGAGGCTTAATGCAATTCGAGTGCCGCTACTTTAACTTTAATACAGTTCTACAAATGAATATTGTGATACTGATGAACTCTTCTGAACATATATGTGATATGTGTTTAACTACTATTAATATAACATAGTGCATTAACTTGGTCACAACAATGAATCTATTGAAATAAATTAGAATATTACATGGTTCTTAATTAGAAGTGCATTTTGAAGCATTGTTATTATTTGCATCATCAATAGGGTTTGCTTTAATTTATATATATTTTACTACTATTCCTCCCTCTTGAAATAAATGAGATCTGTGAATGAGGCAGTAGCCTGTTATATTGTGGTTCACTTAGCACTACTAATATGGTTAACATCATCTTAATTCCTTCCAGATGTTCTCTTCCAGGTAAGTATATATCTGTTACTGTCATTGGCTTGCCTGGACAATAGTACCTACTACTCTCAATTATGGCACATTCAAGTTCCCAGAGTATTTAGTATGTCTTAGCTAAGTCAATCAGAGAAGCATGCTGTAATTACCAAGATGCCAAAATATGCTAATCTCTAGTAGAGGAGATGAGAAAGCTAGATGATTGTGGGCAAAAGAATGCTGCTACTCACGTATTCTGGTATTTTAGTGCACTAATTCTGTAGAGACATGGTTGTATGATATATTTATGTGTGTGTATATATATGTGTGTGCATGTATATTTATATTTGAATATATATATGTGTGAATACATATTTGACATAATATGTAGATTATGGAGCTTTCCTTCCCCAGAGTATTAGAGAATTTATATTGAGTATTTAGGTAAACTAATAACTTACATTAGTATAGTTTCCCAAAGCAAGTTCTCGTGCACTATCTTCTTGAAACTCACAATATTTCTCTCTACTTGGGCAATGATTTTTGTTTTTATGCTACACATTACTTAACTGAAGCTCAGATAAATTTGAGGATTTGTCCAAATTCAGGTTACTGTTAAGCGTACAGAGGCTACTTACTCCTAAAAGATCTTTTGCGTATACTAAATTTTTTTTTCCTTGGAGAGAAAGGTCTCTGGATTTATTCTGCTGCCTTACATTCTGTTTTATTTTTGCACGGTTAGAGGACTATCACTGTAGAAATTCAGGTGGGGCTTCATCACTCCTGCCAACATGCCAACATCCCTTCAGAAACAACAGTTGAATCAACTGTGGCTGAGTTTCAATGTCATCCTCTCCTTTTCTGGAGAAAGAGAGTATGGGCTCAAAAGTACTCAAGGGCCACATTATTTATTCTGTTTGTACCAATAAAGAGAAACTAATATAACAGCACACATCACAAAAGTGAATGTGTGCTTGCTATGTTAAGTCCTCTACTGAACTAATACAACATGGTTGTGATTTGCAAAATTATGTATGCAAAGGGTTTATTTCTTGAAGTTGGGTTAAATAAAATAATGGTGATAGATTATGAGTAATTATGAGTAATTTTGTTAACTGTATTAATATTTTATAATTGGATACCATCATGATAATAGTGAAGGTGATCTTAATTTTGCTTCTGACTCCCAAGAATATTTTCTGTGATTCTGTGGCTTTCTGATCATATACATCAAGTCTCAAACCTTTTCACGTAAAGCATCTTGAATTATTATATGAAGATTGAAAAACAGACTATTTTTAAAAATATTTTATCTATTTATTTCTAGAGAGAGGGGAAGGGAGGAGGAAGAGGGGAGAGAAACATCAATGTGTGGTTGCCTCTCATGTGTCCCCCACTGGGGACCTGGCCCGCATCCCAGGCATGTACTCTGACTGGGAATTGAACCAGTGACCCTCTGGATTGTAGCCCATGGTCAATCCACTGAGCCATGCTAGCCAGGGAAATAGATTCTTTATTAAAAAATAATTTATCTTTACAGAGCACTAAGTAAAATATTGAATAAAATAAACCTAATTCATAGACACTACAAAAGCAAAATATAATTGATTTTCATTAACATTTTTTCACTTAAATCCTAAGGTATATCTTTGTTCTTGGCCTGAATGAAAGGACTAGTTAGAAATGTTCCATATATGTGTTTATACACACACACACACATGATTTCTGATAACTTCTGATCATATACATGATATACTATATACGATTCACAATTACCAAAAAGTATAATACTTTAAACTATACTATAATTTATACTATACTTTTAAAGGCAGCAACCTTTTCTCAACTTCCTTGGTGGCTGAATTCCTAAGTTAATAGTGGAAAGTATTTCAAGGGCTATTTGCTTTGCTTCTATTCCGGAAATTAACATTCACCACACATCTTGGGTCATCTTCTCTCTTAAATGTCCTTTATCTCTAGGCACATTTGGGGCTCCTGTAAGGTGGATTGAAGACAGGGTGAAAGCTGGCAGATTGATTATCACGGTGCCCAACCTGCCAGGAAAGTAGATGATGTATAGATGGAGTGGGCTGAAGCCAGAGAAGACACGTACTGTGTGTTTTATCCTCTGGCCATCTGTAATACTCAGGACAGCTCATCACATGCCAAAGAAAAAACTTTCACCATTTTTACTATTTGCTAATATTTAAAGTTCTAATAGTTCTGTTTTCTACTATGGCTTATTTTGGCTCTATTGATAGCTTTTCCCTTCTTACATGCTGTTTACAACTAAGGATTTTATTACTCATTTTATTTAAAATTTTCTACTATCACAGAGTTTATCAATTCAGATTTCTGCTCTTGCTAGAGCAGAAACTTTGGATTTAGCCACTGGTGAATTTGATTTGAGAAGTTGGGTTACTGTTGACATTTTAAAGATATATAACTAGCCAAAGAATGAAGAAAATAATTTTTAAGACCATTTAGAGATGAAATGTCCAGTTTTAAAACAGAATTATGAATTTATAGTTTTTGTCTCAATATTAATATGCCCTAAAATTATATCTTTTGGGTCAATGAAAGCACCTTACTTATGTCAAATTATGAGCTGAATATTTCATTTTGTTTACAGAGATCTAACTGTTTGGCCCTAAGGTAACATCATCTACTCAATTTAAGCCTAAAGTATTTTCATATATCAGTTAAATAATTTACTAATAAACTGTGTTATATTAGCATTGTTTTAGTGAATTCAGTGAGTGTGCATTAGTTTTAGGATTATGATTTAAATTTTAATTTTTTTTTTACTTAAAAGCATTCCATTAGTGATCATCAGTGAAGCAAACATGAGAGTGAAATATTTACTTTGTTTCTGCAAGACAGAGAGTAAGTGGAGGACAATCTTGTCACCACCAAGAGGTGTGAGGAAAAAGACCCTGCACTTTCATTTGCCAGGATCTGCTGCTGTAGAGCCTGTATCCATCCTTGTACAGAGTGAATGATAAAGCCTGACTCGCTTTGGAGCTGCTGATCGTCCCTGATTATAGACTGCCACTGTAGCATACCTATAATTAAGAAAGAATTAGGCTTTCAATTATAAACCACTATTTTTAGGCTTTCACAGTTTTGATAATTCATCCTCTCAATAAGAGGACAGATCTTAGATGAGTCTCAGTAGAAAATGATTTCAGGGACCTGCCTGCATTGGAATCCTATAGAAACTTGGATTTGAGTGATGGGAAATGACTTTTATATAGAAGTCTATCATTGGCCTGTCAATCCATGAAGCTCAATTATTAACTTACAGAAGAAAGTGCTTTTTTCCAGCTTCTCCCAAATCTCCCACACTATAGTATTCCCCTTCTTATTTAATGCAGTTAATTATTCCATTCTCAGAAGATAAACATGGTCTAATAATAATCCATGACACTATGCTGTTTTTACCCTACATTATAGAGTTTCCAGTGTTTACGAATAGTATAAATGATAGATAAATAGTATTAATGCAGATGTTCTTTACCTAAATGTAAGGAATAGTTTGAAGTTTTCCTAATATATGTATATAATTTGTGATCACATATGACCATGCATATGATTTACTATATAATAATTATAATTATCAAAGAGTTATAATAATTTAGATTATACTTTTAAAGGCAGCAACTTTTTTCAACTCCATCTGTG